AATGCAAGGAACTAGGGTATTCAAATAAAATACACGCTATTTTGTTTTACCAATATTGATAATACATTTATTATTTAAACATCCACGATGTGAACTTTATAATTGATACATATATTGTTGGATCAAATTAAACAAATCTATTTTTTTTTTTAAATCCATTTTATATGGGCAACTGGAATTGAATGTTTATATGAACCTTAAAAAATAAGGTCGGTTCACATCAGAAGCCACCAAACGACCGCTCAACCGGTCTCATGATCAAAAGACAAGATTTTACATGGGGAGTCGTGTCATTCCCCCATGCTTAGTTGACACATAGTCTTTATCACATTTCTACTTTTTCGAATATATATTCAACCTTTAGGCTTCAGAAGGGACATCGAAAAAAAAAAAATACTATAACATGACAACTACGACTTTCTCTCTGAATCTATTACATCCAATTGTTATGTCGATCACCTATGTTAGTCAGCGATTGCTCTTTTTTAATATATTCTCCAATTTTTGAGTTTAATCCATATTTGCCTAATTCGTTTCATGTTCGTAGAAACTGTTATAATTCATCCCTTACAATCCACCTTGTAACCGCTCATTTGATTGTGGTTGACGTCTAACGGTTAAGAGCATTTCCAATGTTCTAATGTCAAAATTTTTCATCCTCCAATGCACAATGTGATCACAAATGTTGTGATGATATAGACATAATTAATGTTTATAATATAGAGAAGAATGTCATTCATCCACACTCTAGCTAGCCAATAAGGAGAAGAGAGAGAATTATTCTTACCAATTCTAAATTATTTAATTAATTTTCTTACTACATATTATAAAATTTTGATATTTGGTAAGTAGATATATTGTAGTTAGATCGACTACATTATGCATTAGAGATAATTTTTTAATTTCATAGATGTAAACTTAACATTTTTCCTACATGATTCACAATCCATTTGATTTATTGACATTTGTCAAAATTTATTCTATAACAACATTAGAACATTGGAGATGCTGCAACAATACTTATTAAAAGGATTAAGTGAAATGAACTCAATTTAGATATTTTTTAATTTATGTTGTTATATAGTCCTTAAGTATTAGAGAATTGTAATTAATATTTTACCAATAAAAAATTATTTAATTGAAATCCAATCCAATGAATTTATGTTGTATGCTCAAGTGATCAAGTAAATGAATGTCTGAAATTTTGCTGGCTGTTTAATTTTTTTACGAAAAAAAGGCGGAAAGAATAGCTTACCCTTTTAATTTATTAGTGATTGTTAAGATATTATTCAATTTTTATTTACGAAATTCGGTGACTATTTTATTTTATATTTCATTATTTTTTTTACCTCTTACAAATTTAAAATTTTTGAGAAATTCAAAGCAAAAAAATAAATAAATACATTTCGCCAATAGACAATTCAAAATGTGAGGACCGGCTTTGATACTATCGAACCTAGGTTAGTCTAATAAATATATAGTTCACCGCCTCACAGAAACTTCAAAACCTCTTCTAATTACAAATGCAAAAGCACGTAAAAAAAATTCAAATAACCCTACATTTCAACGACAAAAACAAGAAAATATGCGGATATAATTCCTTCTTTCTTGATTTCTGCTGCACATATTTCACCCCAAAAAAATTAAATAATTATTTCAAACCCCCAAAAAAAGCTACAGCTTTTCAACATATTTATGTAATTCCAGGTAAATCTGTCTAGTTCTTTGTCACGTTGCTATACGCAAACAGTAACACATTGAAATAAAATATTATTAGCTGAACTAATCCAAATTGCATGAAATAGTTGCACAAACCCTAGCTAGCTAGAAATTAAAAGTATTTGAGCTCAATACTTTTAACTTTTAAGTATCATCATTTTCCTACCTATAAAACCAGCTCTTCTCTTCTGACCCTTTTAATTTCCTCAAACGAAAAAGCTTCTATCTTTTCGACTTTGGTTTCAGATATTTTCGAAAAAATATATAAGCAAACTTATTAAAAAAAAAAAAAAAAAAAAAAAAGAGAGAGAGAGAGAGAGAGAGAGAGAAAAATGGGAAGAGCCCCTTGCTGTGACAAAGCAAATGTGAAGAAGGGACCATGGTCTCCTGAAGAAGATGCAAAGCTCAAGGATTATATCGAGAAATTTGGCACGGGTGGAAATTGGATTGCTCTTCCTCAGAAAATCGGTACATAAAATCAATTTTTCTAATGACTTTCAAATTTTTGTTTATAGTTTCTTATTTTATTATTTTTTTTTTCATTTTATATAAAGAAACCTCCATAGGAATCGAATCTCTTTTCTACTTTTGGCGTGGTCGATCCACTACTAAAAAAATCAAAATTTAGGTCATTAATTTATATATGTTCTAGCATATATGATTTTCGACATGTCGATTTGAACCGAATTTTAATGTTGAGTAGGGTTGAAGAGATGTGGGAAGAGTTGCAGGCTGAGATGGCTCAACTACTTGAGGCCTAACATAAAGCATGGTGGATTTACTGAGGAAGAAGATAACATTATTTGCAGCCTCTATATCAGTATTGGGAGCAGGTACATATATAATTTATAATATTTATAAATCAACTTATTAATTGTCTCATATATACACCACATATAGAAAACTCAGAGATGCTTTTCACATGCAAAGAATCAAAATTTTGATATATATATATATACACACACAAATACTTGTGATTGGTATTTTAACACTAAACTACTTGTCCATTTTTCCTTTAAAATGATGCTTCCTATTTTTCAACATTTTTTTTTTCTGAGTTCTAGTCTCTAGTTAGTTCAATTAGGCTTTTTGTATTTTTTCTTCTTTATTCCTATTCACAAATTTTAGTTAAATTTCGGTAAATTTCACCCTACCCTGTGGACACTGTGTCCTACAAGAATTTTAATCATCTGATCAACACACACATCTAAACGGGTTTGCGTGTGATTTAGATGATTATTACAATTAACCTTTTTCACGAGGTTAATAATTAATAATGAATTATTCTTGATCTTGATCTTCATATTATGATCAAATAATTTCTTCGATATTCTTCCCGGTACGCTAGATGGTCGATAATTGCTGCCCAGCTGCCCGGAAGAACAGACAATGATATCAAGAACTATTGGAACACAAGGCTCAAAAAAAAGGTCCTAGGCAGGCGCCGGCAGTCGAACGCAAACCGGGCCTCGAGCATTTCGGGCCACGAGCCCAAAAATTCAACAGAAGACGAAAACAACTTTGTTTCGCAAAGCCTCAGCAGCTCGGCACTCGAAAGGCTTCAACTCCACATGCATCTTCAAAGCCTTCAAAACCCTTTGCCCTTGTACAACAATCCACCACTTTGGCCCAAATGGAACCCCATTCAGCAGAAAATGATACAAACCCTAAATTCTGTCAGTGAGAATAATAACCAAAACAATGACCTAATTATCTCTCAAACTGCCCCACATGTCCATCTCGACCCGCAAAATTTCGCCCATTTGAGCATTTCGAAAACCGACGAAATCGAACGTTCAGTTAGTAATTTGTCGTCTTCCGATCAAAGCTCGTTCGTGTTGAACCTTGACGAGAAAGTTTTTACTGAGTTAGAAATTACGAAGCAAAATGCTGATCAAGACCCGGGTTTTACTCAAGCCGAGCTTGACGAGTTGCTGAATTATAGAACTTCGGATTTTTATGGAAGTAAGATAGGTGAAAGTGATTCTTTAAAGGACAATATGGGATGGTGGCCGAATGAATTCGACGCCAGCTCAGCATCGTTGAGCTCGTGGATTGGGTCGGGTAATATGCTTCAAGATCATCAATCTCAAGAGATGTACCATGATTATGTGATGAATGGACATATATATAGTAACCAATAATGAGAAAAAAGACTACATATATAGAGATTTATATTATTTTATTTATGTTGTGTATGAATGAGGTGAGGGTTTGTAGGGGGCATATGTGTTGTTGTTTACTTTATAAAAAAGAGAGGCTTATTTTGGAAAGGTGAAGAACGGGACTTGAGAATGGAGGTAAATAAATTGTGTAAATAATGTTTAAGTATTTTAATTGTCACGAGAGATAGTTTTTAAACATTATTTTATTTTCGCAAACATCAATGTACTTTTTATGTTTAAATCCAATGATAAAAAAAGGTTGAAAATTTCCCTCAAATTTCTAGAAATATGGGGCCTTCCCCCGTATCCTTTATTCGAAAGTGTGCATAATTTCTCTCGTTGTTATAGTACCATTTTTTCTTGGATTGTTGAATGGTCGGAATTCTTATGTCGAGCTAGCCACTAATATGTCATTTTTTTTCTTCATAAATATACATACTTTCTTTAGAAAATATTGTACTATAATATTACATAAACACAAGGGCGGATCTAGCAATTTATATGAGTGGGGGCTAAATTATTTGGAAAAATATTTCTTTGAAAAATGCTCCTTAAATCCCAATAACCGACTTTTATTTGATAAATGCGACCTTAATCTCTTTTAAGTTCTACCCCTTATTTGACAATAACTACTATGCTCCCGGGTAGATTGTAGGATACGGCCCAATTGATTAATTGGCCTACCAAATTTTTATGAAATGTCCTTAAGGTGTAATGGGCTGAAATAAAATTAGTCCTGGGCTCTCAAATTCTTTCGCGAGGCACACGAATGATAAAATTACCTAAAATAGGTATAAATTATAATGGTCATAAACTAGAAATTCATAAATATCTAATAATCACATTCTGGATAATTGTAACAATGCATTTTCGATATGAGATCCTTTATCCCCATGGGCATGTAATTTTTGTGCATAAACTTTCATATGTGCTCATTAAACTGATGGTAAGATTCACTGGAACATATTCTTGATTCCAAGTTCAAAGATACTTGATTCTATGTGCATGTTCTTTGTAGCCTTGTGAGAGTGCATGTTGATAACAATTTTATTATTTCCTCATTAAAATTAATAGTTGAATATAATTTTTATTAACAAAATGTTATGTAGTTATATTTTTTTGTTCACCGACTTTTCCTTTTCCACCATTGTACCTCTTCAAAAACACGGAGTAAAATTAACTAAACAGCCAACTATCACATTTTCTCTACCAAAATAGTAAACTTCTCTTTATTAATTTTATTAATTTATTATCCAGCAATCAAACAATAACAACGACTTCTTTAATCCTATAACCATCTTCAATCCCGTTCTCTACTCCTGATAACCTCCAACAATTTCTCAAAATTTCTACTCGAGCTCCCATCCGGCCCGACCGCTTCCAAAGCCTTCTCCCTAAGCCGGCCCACATTCTCCCTCATCCCCTCGTCCGACAACACGCGCCCCAACACCTCGGCCGTACTCCCGTCCTCCCCGAAAACCCCTCCCGGGACCCCAACCCCTATCCTCCACGTGTCCTCCACCATCCTCCCGTTCAACCTCTGGTCCCCGAAAAACGGGCGGCACACCATCGGCACTCGGCCCGCGATGCTCTCGAGTATCGAGTTCCATCCGCAGTGCGTCACGAATGCCCCCACGCTACCGTGCCCCAGAACCCTCGGCTGTGGGGCCCACGGGACGATCCTCCCGAACCCGCCCGCCGTCCGCCCGACGAACCCCTCGGGAAGCGCGTTTTTGGCCCCGTCGTTGAGTGACCATAGGAACGGGGCCCGGAGGGCCTCGAGGGCCCGCGCGAGAGCCCGTAGCTCGGGCTCGGGAGGCACGGCGACCGTGCCGAAGCTGACGTAGACGACCGATTTGGGCGTGTCTCGGAACTGGTCAAGCCACGGGAGGCACTCGGTGGGGTCGGCGGTGGTGTCGTTGGGGGACGTGAGGAGAGTGGTGGGGCCCACGTTGAGGAAGTGGCGGAACTTGCGGCGGAGGTCGGCGGTGATGGCCGGGTCGATCTCGTCGAAGGAGTTGAGGACGATCGCCGAAGATTTCGGAAGGTTCCGGACCATGTTGCCGATGGTCAGGGCGAGGGGGGACGGGTTGTCGACGTCGAGGAAAATCTCGGGCGGGAGGTCGGCTAGGCGAGCGTTTTCGAGTCCCGGGATGAAGGTTAGCCTCTGTTCTTGCTCTGTTTTCTCCTCTGTTTTCATCAATTTGCAACACGATTAAGTAAGTGATCAGGAAGAATAAATATCAACCTAAGCTTTAACCCTTTCTAAAATCAACAGTCTTTATATCTTTTTCCAGATAGTGTTCCGTAGTTAAAAATAAAAAGGTAAACTGCGAATTTAGTACCTAAACTAAGGTGTAATTTTCAAGCTATCTCAATTTCAGTATCCTAATTGTTCAACACTCGTAATTTTAATGTACTGAAATTAAGATAATGTGAGGTAGTGACATTGAAATTACACCTTAATTTGGGTACTAATTTCGCAACTTACCCTAAGGAACTAAGTATTCAAGGTTTTCGCTTAATAACCACCAAGGAAAAACCTTAATTATGTCGTAATTAAGATGTTCGAAAGACTCAACTATGTTCATATTCATACCTGTCGATCCTGCTACCTTTAAAATCTCGTCCGTGTAGACGTGCGCGGACAACGAGCACGAGGCGGCCGTCCAGAAGGCCACCCACGGGACACATCTTTCCTCTGCCATGTCACCGCCGAACCACAAAAACGCGTCCGTTATCAAACACTCCATTTTCAAACCGCTTTCACTCTCCGCCTTCTCTACCGCCTTCTCGAAATTCCCGGGCGAAGCCTTGAGGAACAAGCCTACCGCCTCGGAATGACTTCCTGTGAAAACCTCGTTTTCTGGTGTCCCATCCCACACGTCGCGCACGCATATGTTTTCGTGCTCGTCGGGCCCGTTGAAGAACCCGACGTTGGAGGTCGGACTGGTGAAAAAGGAGAAGAGGGTTCCGCGTGCGGAGGCTGCCATCCTTCGCACGAGGGCAAAGAGTGGGGCTGCGTGGGTCCCGAAAGGGAATGCGAGTACGGCCACGTGCGAGTGGAAAGCCATTTTTTTTTTTTATTATTTTGGATTTTGTTTTGTTTTATTTTTTGAGAAGTGAAAGTGGGAAAAGTGGTGGTTTGAAGGTATGGTATTTAAAGTTGTTTTTGTTTGTGTTATGGATGGAAGTTAGGAGTGGTGAAGTGTGATTTGTGAACGGCAAACTTGACCGTTAGCTACCCAACTTTTCATTTATGGGGATTTGGTAATTGGTATTGTTCATATTTGCCTAATTATTCAATCATTTCATTTTCCGAACAATAATAAAATATTGGGCTATTTTTTTTAAGGTGGTGGATGAGATCTAAAAGAATTTTATTTTTGTCTTTCTCCTAGATTTTTTTTTATTGATATTGTGATTGATTACAAAATATTATTTGAAAATATATTTATCATGCTGTTTTATATTTTCTTCTCAATTTTATCAATGTGATTTTAAAATGAAAACAAAAAACGGATAACTACTGAAATATTTTTTATTTATGAACATATTTATAATATTAATATTTTATTAATTTTTTATATGAATTTTTAAAATAAAAACAAAATTTGGATAGCTACTGAAATATTAATTTATTTGTGGATAACAAAAATGCTATATCAAGGTCAACTTTAATTATGAATTTTAAACTCATATATACTATGACATAAAAAAATATTCCATTCTTCATCCTAAACCCCTTCTCCAATTTCACCACCTCTATTGTCCGCCAAAACCACATTTTCCAAAACTCTATATCATATCTTAGTCATCCATTGGGTGTAAACGAGTTGAATCGAGCTTGGATTTTTTATACTCAAACTCGATTCGAGCATTTTTCAAAATGAGTAGAACTTGTCTCGTTTATTAATATTAACGAGTGAAATGTCAAAAATAAATAAAAATTCATATATTCGAGCTTGTGATAAAAGTATGTTACTTTATTTAAAAATTATGTTTGTCCGAGTCTGTATATATAATAACAGCTACAATATGATAGCTTCGCTATGAGTCGTAATTAAAACCGGACAATGCTACAATTTCATCATAGAATGATTCTGTAAGGACTTTTAGCCATTAGATAAATATGTAACTTCCATGTATCTACAAATAAAACCAGCTACCTTTCAACTACCGTTGCAGGAACTGATTTCCATATTCAACCCCCAGTCCTTTTGTCCTATAGTGAAAAACAAAAATCCTTTTTCTATAAATAAAAGAAAAACAATTCTTTTCAAAATTCTAGCTATCAATGATTCATTGACTTTCATTGGGAGAAAAACAATTCTTCTCAACATAAAAGAAAAACAATTCTTCTCCAAAAGTAACAATACTAATTATTCTGAATTAGATCAAAATCATGTTAATGATCTTCATTGGGAGATTGTATTTTCATTCTACTTTTTTAGTATAGTGAAATCCTTGAACCATCATGACGACACGACACAAACTCGATATGAAGTTATCAATCACACAAAAAAAAGAGCACAACTTAACTCTGGCTCGAATCGACGTGATGTTGTTAGGAAATATTTTATTTCCTATATATAATCTAATTATGGGCAACATATTATATACAATTATATTAGTTATTCAATTAATTAATGGACTCAATTAAGTGATTTAAATAAAGTAGAGTCTACGTAAATTGATATGGGCTAATTAAATGGATACCTAATATTATTAGGGTTAGATGATAATGGGTGGCCTACCCTATTAGTATATAAAGACCCTATTGATTATGGGTCCCCAATATACTAAATCAAACATAGTTTTCTTTTCTCCCCATCTGAATTGAGAATGACGGTTCCATATGAGGAATAAAGCGATTTAGTTGAGGAAGGCCATAAAACCAACCCCGTTCATAATCGAGGACGTGTTCATGATCCAGATCGTGTCCTTGTCAACATTCATATAGTTGAGGCTCGTGATCCAGATCGTGTCCTTGTCAACATTCATATAGATGAGGTCCGGAGATTGATGATAAGGTATTCTGCATCTAGACACAATCTCAATGGATCCAGGTATTCGTTATAATCTTTAATTATAATCTAGCGCGATGTTGATTTTCCTAGAATTGAAACATGTTCTAGGATAATTGTTATTGAATTTATATTATGTGATTATAAAAACCTATAGATGTTGCCATGAATTTGGCGTCGCATGTAAGTACCTTATTATTACCATTTATGAATGTACTTTAAAACCACCCCAAAATTGAACAAAAATACTATCGCTACCCTCAATCGACAACACCTCATGTACTTAAAGTGTGCCATAGAGCTGAAA